GAGGACAGACTTGGTCCCATGCTCCAGTCACTGGAGCCCCTTGGGAGTCACTTTGGATTCAGGAAGACCATGCCCCACCCCAGGGCTCTGTAGGGCCCCCAGGGGTCTGGCCCCTAAGTGTTCTTCCCTGACAGATAGTTTGGGCCTGCCCAGATGAGGATTTCAGGCCCAGATCCAGTTTCCCCTGTCTCATTGCCCGGGACCACCTCCTCTTACACCCCAGGTCCTGCCATCCTGGGCCACCACTTCCTCACACTCCCAGGCCCCTTTGTCCTGGGCCATCACCTCCTTCCCCTTGGGGCTTCCTCACCATGGACTTGGGAGGTGTCTTTGTCTTCAGGCAGCCAGGTCTGGGCAGGGGGCTCCAGCCAGGCCACTCAGAGAGCCGCCACCCTCTCCAAGGCTGAGGGGCTGCCAGGGCTCATCAGGTGAATGGGCAGGAGGCCTGGGTGCCCAAGCAGGTGGCTAGGCCTCACTTGCCTCTTCCGGAGAACAGGTGACCCCCAGGTCTTCTCAGGTTTTTCTCCCAATCACCTTCCCACATTATCTGCCCCTCTGCTGAAGAAACGCCCTTGACCTGCGGCTGCTGCTGGGGCAGCCTGGGGGCAGTGTAGGGGCCCCGGTGGTCCACAGCGACACACACACTCATGCATATTCTCTTCCCCACAGACAAGTGCATCGATGAGTGAACCAGTGGTGAGTATGGCCAAGGAGGGGGCTGACGGGAGCCAAAGTGCAGCAGGTTGTGGGGCTCAGGCCTGCTTTTGCTTCCCCACCCAGCACTGAAGCCATACTTATTCCTCTCAGATGCTTCCTGTCTCTCCACCCCGACTGCTCACACACTGGCCTCTGGCCAAGGTGCTGCCCAGCTGCCCCAACCTGCCCGGATGCCAACAAGAGAGCCAGGAGACCCATCTCACAGTTTGGCCCACCAGCTGCTCCCCAGGCCACTCTACTGATGGAGCCCCTCCCTTGACTGCTAAATAAATGCATGCTCCCAAGCCCCCTGTTTGTGCTCCTTGCCCCTTGGGCTGTCTGGGAGCGGGAAGGGCAAGGCGTGGGCTCTCATTCGCATCATTCCCAGACCCCCTTGCAGTCCTCAGGAAGGGAGGCCGCAGAACCCGAGTCCATCTTCGACCTAACACTTCTTAGCTCCCAATCCTGGGCTCACCCGCAGGCCAGTGGTACCTCTCACATGTCCCTGTCTTTGAGGGGTGCCCAGTCCAATGAGAACACTGATGGGTTCACACCTCATGCATGGACTCAGCCATCTGCAACAGATCCTACAGCAAAGGCCCAGCCAGAATGGAGGCCGCAGAACCTGAGTCCATCTTCGACCTAACACTTCTTAGCTCCCAATCCTGGGCTCACCCGCAGGCCAGTGGTACCCCTCACATGTCCCTGTCTTTGAGGGGTGCCCAGTCCAATGAGAACACTGATGGGTTCACACCTCATGCATGGACTCAGCCATCTGCAACAGATCCTACAGCAAAGGCCCAGCCAGAACTGGGGAGCGGGAGGGGATTGAGGGGTTGCTGAGATGCTGTCACCCCCAACTCACCAGGACACCTGTGGATGCTAGGAGATGGCAGCCAGGGCAGAAAGGGTGCACGGTGGGTGAGGCAGAGGCGTTCCCAGCTTGAGGCTGTGCCAGGCAGCGAGGGTGCCCAGGGGTAGTCCCTTGCCCCTCTGCCAGCCTCCTGTGGGCCCAGTGCTCACCCTCCAGCCCCCACTAGTCAGTGGCAATGTCCATGCTGACCCCATTCAGAGCACTGTCCCTCACCCACATCTCGTTCCGATGACCTCTGGACCACCAGGTGCAGGGCTGGAGGAGGTGAAGAGGGGGATAAGCTGCCAGGACTCCAGATTCCAGAAGGTCTGAGGGCTCCAGGCCTGCACCACCACTTGGCCAGGTCTGTGTCTGGGGCCTGACAAGGCCCTGTACACCCACGCCCAGCCTCTCTTCACCTGCATCACATGCAGGAACTGTCTCTCTGGGCTCCTCCCACCTTACAAGGTCAGAGGCCAGAGGGGGCGGGCTTCTGAAGAAATCTGGGCTTCTCCACCCCACGGACTCGCACACCTACCCCATTCTCTCTCAGCCCAGGAGTGGGGAGATACTGGAGCTGTGAGCGGTCCCAGCCTCAGCACCCAGGGAGTAGGACAGGCCTGAGACCCAGGCCCAACCAGGTGCTGCCGCATCCTCAGCAGTCCAGGCCAGACTCCAGGGAGAGGCCAGCGTGGTGCAGCCTGAGCTGAGCGAAGGATGGGGCCAGAAGGGCCCACACTGAGAAGGGCACCCAGAGGGCCATTGGGCAGAGCCCTGCTTGCTGGCCGGCAGAGCAGAAGCCTTGGTCTCCGCTTCCGGCAGCAGAGCTAGTTTCTCCGCCTTGGCCCAAGCAACACAGCTTCCCATCACCACCTGGGGCTGCTGGGCCTTCTAGGATCAAACTCTGAGGACATGAATGGGGCTCTGTGTTTCCTCCCGGGGTCACCCGGTTTATTAATTTCTTATTGCTGCTATAACAAATCACCACAAACTGGTGGCTTAAAACAATACGCATTTATTCTCTGACAGTTCTGGAGGCCAGAAGTCCAAAATCAACTTCACTGAGCTGAAGTCAAAGTATAGGCAGGACTGGGCTTCCCCTAGTGGCTCCAAGAGGAAGCCGCCTTAGCCTTCTCCAGCTTCTAGAGCTTCCTTCCTTGCACTCCTGGGCTTGTGGTCCTTTCCTCCTTCTTCAAAGACAGCAGTGTGGCATCTCCACACGTCTCTGTGGAGGTTGTTGCACGGCCTCCTCGCTTCTATCTGCAGTCAAATCTCCCCCTGCCTCCCTTATTAGGACACACGTGAATATGTTTAGGGTCCACCTGGGTAATCCAGGATAACCTCCCCTTCTCAAAATTCTTAACATAATCACATCTGTACAGTCCCTTTTTCCAAATAAATTGCCATTCATAGGTTGTAAGGATTAGGACCCAGATGTCTTTGGGGGCTATTATTCAGCCTGCCATTCGAGACTTGGAGACGGAATGAAGCCAGGGCTTGTGAGATGCAGAGAGGGGAACAGGGACCCCAGAGGCAGGGCAGGGACTGGCTCGGGTAGGAAGCTCTCGGGCTCAGGCTCTTGGGCCACATCCTTGAAGGCCGTAGGTGGGGCTGGTCTTGCTGGGGGACTTGCAGGGTTTTGCAGATCCCGACCAGTTCTCTATGGAGTCTAACTTCCAACAGGACAAGTTCTCCCCTGCCTGGTTCCTTCAATGGTATGGGAGCCCTGATGGGGGAAGGGGCACTCTCTGGGGCTGGGTCGTCTCTCTAAGAAAGAGTGGGCCTGAGCAGGGTTGGCACTGGGCAGAGGTACGAGCGAGGCTGAAAAAGAAGAGCTGGGCACTTGCATTTGAGATACCCTCCCTGGGACCACAGTATTTCACCAATCAGAAGAGCAGAGCCTTGTGTCCCCTGAAGGGCCTAGAAACACCTGTGCCTGTGCGTGGTACACAGGCATGCAGAGCCACAGTAGAAACACAGGTCACAATATATGTGGGTGTGTTAACAATCCAAATACGTCTGTTCCTATGAGCACAGGACATCCAAAAAAAAAACAGACCTGTGTTTTTCTCCCACATGTGAAATCACTCCTGGGCTCACAGGACCTGACTATAGGTGTGAGCCTAGAGGCCAGGGAGAAACACAGACACTCCCAGCATGTGGGGATGGGCAGCAGACCCTCAGAGAGACATATAGATTCCAGAAACACGCCAAGGTGCACACAGATACACACCACACAGACACAGCGGGTGAGTGTGAAAGCTCATGCATGGAGTCTGCACAGATTCATGATGCACACGTCCACCCTTCTGAGCATCCAGCTGTCCCCAGGCATGTTCTCAGCACCCTCTCAGAGCCAAAGATCCATCCCTCTCTAGGAATGGCCCCAGCGCTATCTGCCACCTGCTCCATGGGCATGGGCGCCTCCCAAGGGGACTGGGAGGGTGTGGCCAGCCCTGGTTGGGGAGAAGCAGAGGCTTAGCTGGAGGGGGATGGGAGGAAGGGTGCCCACTCCTTACCATCAAGAGGTTCAGCTGACCTGGGGAAGGGCGTGGTCACTGAAATTTTGGAGGCGCGGATTCAGCTGAGGCCTCGCCTCCACTCAAAAGAAGTCATTGCTGAGCTTAACAAGTCAGTGATGACTTTGATTACAGGTGTGGTCTCAGCCACACCTCCACCTTCCTCAGGTGAAATGGTCCAACAGCTTCTGGGACAGAGAGGATCCCTCCCCATTGTCATAGTCAAGAAACATTACTGAGCCTGACTGACCCCTATCCCAAGTTAGGCCTACTAACAACCAGTGTGAGACCAAGAACTGACTGCTGCAGCCATGGGGCCTCCTGATGGCCATAGCTTACAGGATTCCAGTTAGTGAGCCCCTCTCCGGTGGGACATGGGCTTCATTCTCAGCTGATCCCGTGACGGGGATCGGACCCCTAGCAGCGATGGCGCCGCTGGGTCCAGCTCAGGAGCAACACCTGGTAGTTGGGTGGCTTTGGGCAGGCTTTCCTCTTCCAGATGATAGCGGCTGGGCCCGGCTTATCCCTCAACCTTGCCTGACCGACAGCCACACGCAGCACTCTGCCACACAGACCTCGACTGTGAAAGGAAAAATTCCTGAAGCCATAAGGGATTTTTTTAGAAACCACGTATCTCAGATTTCGACCATGCGGAGGCACTGGCTCGCCCACCCGCAGGTCCTCAGAGGCAGGATGGCGCGGAATGGGGGCAGAATGGGGGTCCCCCAGCTACCCCGCTCGCTGGCCCTGCTTAGGGGCTGAGTTTCTTAGCACCGAGGCCTCTCCGGAGGCGGCCTCGGGAGCGCCCAGCGCGGCTGCTGGGAGGGGGCCCGAGCGCCTCTGTGAGGCAGTGCGGGTGCGGGGCCTGACGGCGGGAGGGG